TCTTACCTAAAACATCTTATTTAAATATTAATTTAACAACAGGAATAATTCAAACAACAAAAAATTCATTTGATTATGAATTAATTCAAACATATTCATCATTAATAATAGCTTGTGATAATATTAATTCATTACCATCATTATGTTGTTATTTAAAATTAAATATAAATATAATTGATATTAATGATAATTTACCTTATTTAATTTATCCATCATCAATAAATGATATATTTATTATTAATTATACAAATAAAACAATGCCACGTTTAAAAGCATTTGATAATGATATTGATTCAAAAAATAATTTTATATCTTATTCTATTATTGGTGGTTCATTAAATTCATCAATAAATATTGATTATCTTTCTGGTCAATTATATCTTTTATCAACATCAATACTTCCACTTTATGGTACTCTTATTATTTCACTTTCTTATCAAACAAATATTCAATTAACATTACTTATTCATGATAATCAAACTGATCCACAAAAATTTTTAATATCAATTCAACAATATTCATTTTCATCACAATTATTTTATTTTATTTCTTTTATTTTAATTATTATTATAAGTTTTTTTCTTATTATCATTTTTCTTAGTTTTTACTTTTTTAAACAAAAACATAATTATCAACAAAAACAAAAACATGATGATGATCCATTAATGAATACACCATCAACAACAACACTTTCTGCTCGATCAATATTAGCAACAACAACAACAATTAATAAAAAAATCTATGATACTTATTATTCATTTGGAGATAGTGTTACTCATGATATTATTCATGTTTAATTCTTTTTCTTTTTCTTTTGTCTATGTGTGTTAAATATAATTTCTATGTTTAAAAGTCGTTTTTCTTTTCTTAATATATACATTTCTCAATTAACTTTCAATTTGTATTTATATTTATCTTGAACATATTATCTCTTTGCCATTATTTGAATTCAAAAAATCACTATAGTACCTTTATTGACAACTCTTAAAACATTCTGTGCAAAAATACAAGTTCAGTATGTATTGGTGAGCATATTTTACTAATACGCTCGATATACATACGTTCGAATTTATCGTGATGAAAATTTATATATTATGTTATATTTCAACAGCAATTACAATAAGTGTTATTTTTTTTTAGTAATCGCTTTTCACATAAATAAAATACTGATTATAGCGCGGGTTCATATAATTCCTTATTGTAGTTCATCATGGTCGATTAATATTAAGATCAAGCAAGTTTAATGTAGCATTTATGTAGATTCACCGCAATACAAAATATAACTATACTTCCTTTCGTCTATTTTATAAATATTTTCTTCAGTTAAAAATCTCCCAAACTTAACGCCAATGAAGAAGAGTACCATTAGAATTTTCTTGATTAAGCAATCCAACATAATCGAATCAAACACTTTTTAACGTTTGAATGAACTGTTTTGTTGAGAAATCAATGAGCTACTGAAGAGATTCGCGAATTGATGAAGTAAGATTTTTATTTCGTTCGCAGTATTGTTGTAAAATCTTTCGAATAATTGCTCGCAACTTTTCTTGTACTATCGTTGATTGTATTATGAAATAGCATAGCCATTCTATTAATTATTAATTATTTAGACTACTAGAATAACTTCGATACGACAAATATACTTCAATCGTAATTAAATGCGTTTTTCTAAACGTCAGAGCGTTTTGATTCGACTACAAATCTTTACAATGAATGAAAAATGAAGGTTAGAAAAGAAAATTCGGATGCCAGCTTAATTTTTCTTGAAGATTTTTTGGATTCCAAGATCTTTTTGTGGAAAGTGTTTTAAAGACTTTCGAAACTGCCGAAAGCCTTGAATGTTTCAAAAGGGATAAGAACTTACTTTGTGTTGCTCATTGTACTTCTTCGAGATTCAACAAGTTCAGAAATTCTGTAGGCTTTCCATGAAATAATTCGGCAACTGACAAGATATCTTTGGATATTCTTTGTAACTTCTAAATAAACTTTTTCAACAATATTGATCCCTTAATATGTCTTGATGATCTCCAAAAATATTAATAAAATTTTCGACAGTAGAGTGAGAATATGCGAAAAACGATTTTACTTTTTCAAAGTCAATATTTTTGAAATTTTAAAGACTTTCGAATTTTCAGAAACCAAGCCGGTATTTTCGAAAACATTTTTGGGAACCGAAAACCGTTCCCCAAAGTTTGAAGAGTTTTTGAAAGGATTTCAGAATGGGATGTGGTGCCCGATGATATGATTTTTTTAGAGTGCATTCATCAAGGTTCCTAGCAATATGTAAAACATCTTTTTTTCCTCACTCTTTTTCAATATACGCCTCAGAGTGACATCGTCTCTCAGTGAAGCGACAAAACTAATCGTAGATAATCACTACTGGTGCATGCAATTCGACTCAGCATCGGTCTCAAGAAATTGTTTTTGAAATGAGTGCTCCGAGATACTTTTCATTTTGATAGCAAATAATCACCGCATGCGCTGAAGATTAAACATTTGTGTCATCAGTAAAGCAGTAATGGATGTCGACACCGGTGAGACGAAAAAGAAAGACTGTTCCCTACATTCTGTATATATTCCCTCGACTGAAGGGAGGGTCATACACCGAGCAAGGTTCGTATGTTCGTAACTTCGTTCGTTCGTACGTTCGTTCGCACAGAACGAAAAAAAGTTTTTTTGACCTATTACATCATCGATCCTGCAACAAAACTTAATCTTAGCTATTGGATCACTCGATAGTTCCACCCCTCCCCCCTCCCCAAACCAATCAGATGTCTGCTTCATCTGCATGCCAGCCAATCAGATTTCAGGTAATATGTTTTCAGCCAATCGTAGGTTTTCACGGATCGGCTATGCACCAATAAGATTCCAAGAGTGTCTATTTGGATCAATCATAGGTTTTCACGGTTTGGCCATGCACCAATGAGATTTCGAGAGTGGACATTTGGACCAATCATAGGTTTCCACAGGTTGGCCATGCACCAATGAGATTTCGAGAGTGGCCATTTGGATCAATCATAGGTTTCCGCAGTCTGGTCATGCAGCACTGAGATTTTGTGAGTTGGGAGTTGCACCACTCTAAAGTTTTCAGGTTAGTGTGGATGTGCATCGGCGTGGGTGTAGGCGTGAGTGGTGTATGATGTGGGTGTGGGTTGGATGG